CATAATATCTCTAAGAAAATGTCCTTGGTTTTAAATGAAGATAAACTCTTCTACTTCAGCTAGTGAGCAGCACCTGCTGAAAAGTCACTTTAAAAGTCACTTTACTCCAAGGTTTCTTGAAACAAAGAATAGGAGGAGTTAAATATGATGCCTTAGATAGGTTTTTAGGGAGGGGGCTTCTCAGAGCTCCTGTTTCACATCAAGATTTGAGGCAGAAGTTCAGAGATGCTTGCCTTCTATCTAACTCAGTCACCAGAGAGAAATTTAAAACAAGCCTAGTTTCAGTGTTAGACAACACTTTACGGCAGGACAGCTGCCTCTCTATTAATTTGCTGATTTATTCAAATGGCTATCATAAAAAAAGATGCTGATTTTATCAGACATAACCAACCAAAGTATTTTAAGCACATGCTTACTCTCAATCACTTGAGCTTCAAGGTAGGTTAAGCATGTTTAAATTAACTGGATTTGTTATTCATGTAGACTTGCTTCAGATATGTCAAATCCTACTTTACCATGGCATTCTCATAAGCTAGAGACAGTGTTTCAGAACTTGTTTAAAAGCTGAGCAGGCTTCTACGTGGACTTGGTATTTCCCAATATCTGCCTAGCCAAAGCTGACAGTCTGAATGGTAGTTTTTAGTTTCTCTAGCTGACAAATTAATGCCTTTATTGCTCAAGAAAGATGGAGGAAATGGAACCCTTCTAGAAAGATAATGTTTTTATTACTGTTTCCTTTTCTTAAGGCTGTTAGAGAGGTCAGCTGCTCTCAAAAGTGCCAGTGACGTGGAATTCACCCAACGTCTCCCAGAAAGCACATTGTATAAAACTCCTAGAGATTCCTGTTCTGAAGTCATATGGATGTTTATAGGCCAATTAAGTGTTTTTAGATGAGACCAGAGTGATAAGAGGTCACTGAATTAAGGAATGTGTGCATATATCAGCCTGGTGTGACGCCAGAAAGGCTGCAGTCAGTTTCCCAGGAAGGCATTTCCTTCTTAAAGCCCATATGAAATAACAGCAGAGGATTCTTCTCCTCCAGGAATGCATCTGCCTCTAACTTTAGGAAAGTAGGAGAGTTCACATCAATGCTTGGTAATGAGATGGTTACTATATACATGGTGTACATATGTATAGTTCAACATTTATATGCTTGTATAAATGGACACTCTACTATAAAGACAGTGTCAGATTTTCTGCCTCATAGTTAAATTATTATAGTCTTTTAAACAACTCACAGCATTGAGTGAACTATTCTGAAAAGCAGTGCCTTCAAAGTTTGAGAACACCAATGTCTACTGATGGTACAAAATTATTTGGAGGAAGACAGGACTGTCAGAAGAATTGCAGAAAGGTTTTATGAAAATCATCAACAAGATGTCAAATGATGATTAAGTATATGTGTATATGCATATATAGCAAAAGATGCACATAAACCACTCCTGACTCTGCTCCTGATGAAGTTAAGAGCCTCTGAACTGATGACCATCATTCAGGAATAAAACCTGGGGGCTGGGACTGTTCCATGGCAACAACAGCTCATTGTTCAGAAGTGACATCTCAGAAAGGCAAAATTGAGGATTTCATCCTGTCTCTGTATAAATCCTGGATACCGTGTCCTATTCTGATGCTTTGTGCACATCCCTCTAAAGAATATCTTAGAAAAGATGTAGGCTAGGAAAGAGAAGGTTAACCAGATGATCAAAGGCCTTGTGTCACTCTAAAGAAAGAAGCTACATCTCTAGTTTGGACAAAAAGTGACCATTGGAATCTTACTGAGATTTATAAAGTAGGCCAAGCAAGACAGGATGAATAGGGATTGATTGGTTGATTGATTGATTGAGTCCTTTTTTTCCTCCACAGTAGAAGAGCAAGAAGGCACCCATAAATGTAATGTTTGATCAAGTTTTATCTCACGTACAAGCATCCACAGAAAACTTCTTGACATAGGCTAATGTGGACGTTCTTGTGGCTTTAGGAGCAGACTGCATAAAACATAGGTTAGAAATTAATTGAAAGTGTTAAATGCATAAAATCATTCTGGTTCAGGATTTCACTAAGATGCAAATTATTGAAGGCAAGCAAAACAGTCATGAGAAGAGTGGTATATATCATACACTCTTCCTGAAAGATTCATGTTTGGCTACTGCCAAGGTAAGGATAAGTTTGTCACGTAAGCTCCTCTACTAATATGACAAGTCTCTTCAGACTTCCAGGTATTCCATTAAATGATTTAATGCTATGGACTATGAGCCAAAAATAGTTAATGTCTTATATGTTTGGACCCAATGAGATATTTATTATTTTAATTCCCAGCAATGGAGAGACTATAAAAGAGCTATCTACAGCAATCATAGAGTCATAGAATGGCTTGGGTTGAAAGAGACCTTAAAGATATCTAGCTCCAACCCCTCTGCAATGTGCAGGAGATACTTGCCACTGACCAGGTTACTCAAAGCCCTTTCTAACCTGGCCTTGAACACTCCCAGTGATGGGAGCACAGCTTTTCTGAGCAGCCTGTGCCAGTGCCTCACAAGTGCCTCAGTGTAAATAATTCCTTTTGTATATCTAATCCAAACCAGCTCTCTCTGAGTTCTTTTAATTTTGTGTGTGAACTTAGGACACACTGTATTGTTGTCCAAATGGCAACACTTGTGCCCGAGGAGCAATTCTGATGGTTTCAGAGAGAATGTGGTGGCAGTATTTGTGGGCACGAGTGTCTTCTAGGTTGAAAAAGTATATAAATACAAAACTGAAAAAATAACAGTGATGTGTGTCTTATTGTTCTCAAGCCAGCATGCTAGAGACAGCTAAAATAGATAAAAATCCATGGGGATTTATCATATCACAAAATTGGGTTTTGTATTGTGTGCTTCCTTTGAAACATTTGAAAGTATGAAGCATTAGTACTACAGCATCAAGACTTAGATGCTTTATATCTAGGTACATGTGGCTGCAACCATTCTATAGGTAAGATTTAGAAAGAAAAATTAACTGTGCCTAATTTATGACTATAGAGCTAAATTTAGCTGCTGTTCTTCTACCTTTGAGAAAATTGGGTCACACAGGAAGTTCATTTCAGTCAATTTTGAATCAGGATGACCAGGATCAGTTTCACCTGCAATTCAATGTTGACTCATAATTCTAAGTAATCATTATTTTCAGGAAAGCTGATAATGTGTAATGCGTCCTAGGCAGTCATACTGGTGCAGTGACCTTTACTCTTATTTTTGGTAAATAGTCATAAAGTTATTATATAATTTTATATATATATATATATATATATACATACACACACACTATGTATATGTATATGTATATGTATATGTATATGTATATGTATATGTACACTGGGAATTTCTGATAAAAAGAAGTATAATTTACTTCTGCCTCTTAGATCTATACACAACCAAAGGAAAATGATGACAAGTAGAAATGGTATCCAATACCATATGTTGCTGACATCAGGACTCTGCATATGACTGATCAGACCTCAGAAGGAAAAAAGTAAGAAAAGAACCAATTTAACCTGAAGGAGAATTTTCATAAGCACAGTTAATAGGAGCTGTGAAATAGTGACATGAATCAAGACAGTGAAATGGCTAACCATGAGATGCTCTTGGAGCACAGGAACTGGGTTGCTCAGAACTCTGTTGCCTAGATTACTGAAACATCACCAGCAGTTAGGAGACAGAACTCCTTTCACAAGCAAACACTTTGCAAGAATGACTTTAGCAAGCTCAGTCTGTCTTTCTAGTACAGCCATTAGCCAATCACTGTAATTCATGCTGAACCTCAGATGGCAATAGCCCTGTAACTGGAGTTCATTCCATTCAGCCAGCTTGAATTTTACATCACAAATAAGAAGGAGGGGATTCCTGGGGACTTTTCTGTGGCTGTGCCATTTAATTTACAAAGCTCTTTGGTACCCCAGCAATGGACAGGATACAGGGAGCTGTTGAATGAATGGACAGGTGGACAAGCAAATACCCCTGGGCACTCAGTGCTGTGTGTGCCTTGAACCTCCACAGCAGTTAGTAGTCACTGCACCTCAGCAGCATTACACTCCTAATTTCTCAACTTTGGAGCACTCATCTCTTCTTCCACTTTTCGTCTCCTCAGAAAGAGAAAATTTTGCAACATAAATATCATGAAGAGTTAAAGAATGTAATTCTTAAAATAGCTCAGCATGGAAAAAACCTAAACCTAGTGTAGCAAAACACAAATTTGCAGCTACGCATCTGATGGTGAGGAAGAGGCTTTTACACAACAAGAGTTTGGAGATCTGGCAGATAGAGACCTTCAAGCTGTTGTTTTTAATGCCCAGTTTTTGCTGAGACATGCTAAGAGCCCAGATGATAGGAATGCATAAACATCATGCTTGGTGAAAAAAACTTAGTACTTTTTCCCCTGTGTAAGAGCAAGCAAGAGAGTAGAGTGTGAAGTAACTAAAACTTGAAGTTTTAATGTCTTCTTATTAAGGCTGAGCTCCTTTCATTCCTGCTACCTAGTGTTCCCTGATGTTGTCTGAAGAGTCCTGACAATTCAGTCATTCAGCTCTTGAACTGCTACAAAAGGTCACATGTACACTAATATGAAATGCCATTTTTTCCTCATTAGTTTCTATGAGGAAAATTTAATTTCACAGCCTGTCTGGGAGAAATAATCTGAAGGAGGAAGCTGTACTGGGTATCTTGTGTCATCTTGTTCTACGTCAATGCCCAGGTGCCCAGGCTGCTCAGGGAAGTGGTAGAGTCACCATTCCTGGAGGCACTTAAAAGCATGTAAATGTGGCACTGGAGGACATGGATTGGTGGTGGACTTGGCAGTGCTGGGTTAATAGCTTGATGATCTGAAAGGTCTTTTCCAATGAATCAATTCTATGACTCTGAGCCCTCACATTCTGTGTTTGAAATTATCATGTGTGAAATGCAAGAGAACACTGTCATGAGCTCCAGCAGCTGACCTTCTCTGAAGTTTCTCTCAAATCTCAAAGAAACATGAGGTAATTCTTAAATACAGGATTTCCATCCCCAGGACTGGCCCATTCCACCCACTCCCCTGGGGCTACAACAGCCCAGGGACACCAGCAGCCTGCAGCCACGCCCCATTCGAATCACACTGGTGGAAGTAAAGTTCAAGGTAACCTTATGGATCAGGGTCACATTACTTTTCAACACCTGCCCATGTCTATATAACCACACAATGCCTCCCTGTGTGGCAGAAAGGCCCTCCCCTTCTGCTGACGTGTAGCTCCAGACATGCTGTTTCCTGCCACAGGGAGCTCTGCCTCCATGGCCACCAAGATCCCAGCTGAGAAATTTGGGAAATGTCAGTGTGAGACACACCATTCTGAAAGCATCCTGTACCAGATCCTTAACAAAGAGCATGGAAGTGAGACCAAGTGGCACCAGCAGAATTGCGGTCCCCACTGCTGTGCAAGAAGCAAAGGCTGCCCTTGTTTGGACAGGAGAAGAGTTGTCCTGAGAACACCAGAAGCCACACGCAGAAGAGCTTCTGAAGTGCTGTTGAAGACTTCAACTTTTATTAGAAACCTACCTTCTTTTTATCACATGCCTTGGGAGGATCAGTTTGTCCTCATCCAACAGAACTGGGCCCCTCTATTTGTCCTGGGCATGGCACAAGAAGGAGTGGATTTTGACCTGAGAGAGATTCCAGGCACCAGTTTATTGAAAAAAATCCTCCTCAATCAGTCTTCAACAGCTATGAATGAACTGGGCAGTTCATCAGCAGGAGCATCTTTCAAAGAAGTTCAGAAGATGAAGAATTTATTGTGGAAATTCTGGGACCTGGACATAAGTGGAAAAGAATACGCCTATCTTAAAGGGATTATTCTTTTTAATTCTGGTAAGTCCTCCCAGAAATTACACGAATGATTATGTATGTAGAAAGATATTTGATATTTTTATTTATGTATAGAGAATGTTTTGTTTTACTTATTTTTATGAATGCAGTTAAATGTTCTCAAAAACCTGTATTCCACAATTTAACAGTTTTTCTGCCTGATGTGGTTTATTTTGGTTCCTTGGATATGTGCAGTATGTCACCCACCATAAGCCAAAACAACCTCTGTCTGACAAATTTGAAGTCATAAAGAATTGTGTAACTTCAAACTGACTTCCAGTTCAAAGGTAATACAGCAGCCTCACCCTCGTGTCACAGCACGGGAGAGGTGGTACAAGGGCACATGATGTGAGCTTTAGAACTATTTTAACAAAGGCTTCCTCAGTAACAAGAACACTGGAGAAAAGAACCATCTGATTTTCATCAGTGAGGCAAAAGGATGCTATGTTGAGGTTACACAGCTTTTATGTATTTATATCCTTTATTTATATAATTTAGTATCGCTATTTTCAAAGCCTGGGACAGCAAACTAAGACTTCTGATTGAATTCTCTCACTTCTGATACCAAGTTCAGGTTCCTTAGGAAGGAAGGTTGTCTCAGTCAGCACCATAGAATGCATGAGTCATTAAAAGCTGAGCTCTAAGTCCACTAAAGTAAGTGGAAAAACTTATTGACTCCAGCCTGCTCTGGCTCAGATGCCCAGCTCCTTCCACAGCAATCCCTGCTGCTGGCTGCACTGTCAGCAGTGTGCTGTACTTGGGATTGTACCAAAAGGATACTTGAATGCTTCAGTTATTCCATTATATTTCTCATGCTGCGTGGTTTATAGGTGGCTCAAAGGCTCAAAATGTGACTTTACATTTGTTTCCAATGGGATTAAAATTCTGATTCTTGAGGTGTAGTGTCATCCAGATGCTTGGTATTGCCTCGAGTGTCTATGCTGCAGCATCAAACCAGAAGTTTGTTTCAGTGCAAGCTTTTTTCTCAATAAAATCAGGCTAAAAGAAACCACTATTTATATCCAGGGGGATGATAAGAGGAGAAAGACCTTATCTGCAGCAGCTTACCCAGTTTAACTAGCTGGCATTTTTATTGTCTCTGTGGGTAAAATGCAATTTTCACTTAAGGAGAAACGGCAGTAGCAGGGTTATGTTCTGGATTTGTGCCTCCTAAAGGCCTGCTGCTTCCCCAGGGTGCTGTATGAGAGAGCCAGCAGCCTCGATGCTCTCTGCAGACACATTCCACAGTTTCAGGAATGACACTCAGCTCTTAGTTGGGGTGATCCTATTTCCTGGAATGGAATATTTCTCCATGAGCTGCAGAAGTCAGGCTAGAGAGCATCAGTTGAGCTTAGATTCAGTTAAGCCTCTGTATAAAACCGAATCACCATCTAAGTCTGGGCTGAAACAGGTACTCAGGGCTTATACACAGCCCAAGCAAACAAATCTGTACAGCTGTTGTTTTGCAACTACTACTTTTAATAGTTTTTCAACACTTTCCATAAAACTCAGAAAATGTTTTCTACATATTTGCAACACATTTTTAAACTTTTCAAGTTTTGGCTTGATGTTTGGCAAAATGCTACTATTTTTGCAGGCCTCAGTTCTAAAAGGATTTCAGGAAGTCAGCAGTAGTGACTAACTCTCTTTTGGATTACAGAGTGCCTCGTTACCACTCTTAATGTTTTTCTTCTGTTTGGACCACCAAAACTGACTGAAGCAATGGGGAAGGGCCAGGACCAGAGTGGTCCAGAGCTGGGTCATGAGCTGGAGTTCAACAGGACATCCAGGCATGCAGCTGTAGTAGCCATCACTTGGATAAGAAGCATGACAATTATGCAAAGCCTTGCTTGTACCCTGGGTGATCTCTTGTGGCACAGACATTGTGCTTACTCTCATTAGAAAAATCCCTTTGGCAGGAGGGTGGCAGGCAGCACGATGAAGTGTAGGTCCTCCTATAAGAATCATAGACTGCTTTGGGTTGGAAGGGACCCTAAAGATCATCTTAGTCCAACCCCCTTGCCATTGGGAGGGAAACCTTCCACTAGACCAGGTTCCTCCAAGCCCCATCCAGCCTGGCCTTCTGGCCAACTTCTGGGGATGTGGCACTCACAACATCTCTGAGCAAGCTGTTCCAACACCTCACCACTCTCACAGTAAAGGATTTCTGCACACATGTCTGACCTATGCCTACCTGCCTTCTTTCAGTTCAAGGCCATTCCCCCTTCTCCTATCATTACAGGCCCCTGTAAAAAGTCCACATCCAGCTTTCTTGTAAAGCCCCTTTAGGTACTGGAAGGCTGCTTTAAGTCTTTCCAAAGCCTTTTCTTCTCCAGGCTGAACAACCTAAACTCTGTCAGCCTGCATTCATAGGAGAAGTGCTCCAGCTCTCTGATCATCTTCAGGGTCCTCGTCTGGAGTCATTCCAGCAGGTCCATGTCCTTCTTATGCTGAAGGCCCCAGAGCTGGAAATAACTGGTGCAGCACCTCTGTGTGGGAGGCTCTGGCTGGGTTATTGACTGACCACATCTGGGCCAGCAAGAACCTGCAAAGAAGAAATTGTGCACCAGCCCCTGAGGGGAAACCAGCACCTTGCATCAACAAAATCCAGACCCTCCAGAACATATTGGCATCACCACTCTTCCCAGGGGAGCTTTGTCTGGGTAGCTTTGGAGCTGTCTCTATATCTGTGGGTGAGGGGTCTAGCTGCAAGGCCTTCTGTACTTGGACCCAGGCAATAAGTCAAAGGAAGGAGCTGTTCTGCCACACAGAAACAGCACAGAGTAAGGTGAAAACATTTTTGTGTTTTTGACAGTTGTCTGAAGAGCAATTGGGACTGTACAGTGAAGAGATGGGAACAGCTAAAACCAGTGTAGTTATTATATCAGTGCCATACATATACATATTTATGTACACATATATATTCAAAAATTCCATCAAGGCTGTGACAGGGGTTCTGTTAAAAAAAAAAAAAAAAAAAAAAAAAAAAAAAAAAA